AAAAAAAAAAAAAAAAAAAAAAAAAAAAAAAAAAAAAAAAAAAAAATCGATAAAATCGATCAAAGATCGATTTTATCGATTGCGAGAAAGAAAGAAATATGCATAAATTTTCAATCAAGAAAGAAAAAAAAGGAGTGAAAAGACATGACATATACACAAAGACGGAAAAGAAAGTTTTCACTCTCTCTCAATCTTCGAATTCGATAGATCAATCGATTTCTAATCTAATCGATCAATCAAATCAAATCAAAATCAGACCAATCAATCAATCAATCAAAAAACAAGAAATAAATTCCGTTAAAACATTATCATAATAATGTTTCAGGAAAACGAAGAAACTTTCGATTATGTTTTTTTGGCTAAATCACATTATGAATCATTCATGATTTATCGACCAATGTTGTTGTTCAGTTATAAATTACAAATTTTTATTTAATTTTTTCTGTTTCAAAAGTAACAGATTTTTGTCGATTCTGGAGTCAGGAATTCATGGATTTTTTTGTTTTGTTTTGTCAAACAGAAAACAGACTGAACTGGACACAAAGCTGGAAGTTGATCGAACTGAAAGTTGAAACAAAACGAAAATCAATGAAAGAATCGATCTTTTGCTGCTTCTGCTGTCGATGATAATGGTGTAGGGTTGTTGTTCATAACAATAATAATAATTATCAGTTGTCAGTCAGTCAAATCAAGACAATGTCGACCACACAATCATTATGATTCATATTTGTGTGATGATGATGATGATGGTTGCAATTCCCACCACCACCTGATTTTTCCTTTTTCAAACTTGAAAAACTTTAGAAAAACTCAATGAAATTTTTCAAACAAAGAAATGATTGAGAATGGGTAATTGTGTGTGTGAGAAAAAAGTGAAATAACGAAGAAACGATCAAAAAGTCAAACGATTTGACTTTTTTGAAGACAAAAAAAAACCTGGAAAAACATGGAAAAATTTTAAAATATGAAATTCATTGCAAAACAACCGAAAAGCAAATTATATTCACGCACAAAACGATTGGCCAATTATCAAATGATTATGGCCAGACTTCATTCATTCATTCAACAAATGAAAAATTCATAGAAAAATTCACAACCCAAGCAAAAAATATAATGAATTTTCAGACACGAAAATAATAATAATTTCCTCTGACCATAACGATGATGATAACTACCTACAATTATCCACCACCACCACCACCACCATCATTTGATAAAACGTGTTGCAAACATCATTTTGGTTGTTGGCTAGTTTTTGGATGGTTGTTTTTTTAAAAAATTCATTGAATTTTCAAAAGTCTGTAGAAAAACATATTTTTTTCCTATTTCAATGTGTGTGGTTGAAAAAAATAATTATCCATCAGCGTCAGTCATTGAAAAGGTTTTTTCCTATTCTTTTTGGCTGAAGAAGAACCCAACCGAAAAATTGAATGAGAATTTCAATGATGGAGAGCAGATGGTTAATTTTTTTTTAAAGTTTGGAAAGAAAGTGACATTTTTAATGATGATGGTCAATCGATCAATCAATCGATTAGTCGATCAATCAGTCGATCGATCAGTGAATCAATCGAACAGAATCATTAGATTTTTTTTTTTTTGTAAAATAATTAACCTTTTTTTTGTTTGTTTGATAATTGGATGTTTAGGAAGTCAAAAATCATTAAACCAAATGATAATGATGAGAATATCACTGAATTTTTGATTTGAATTAAAAGAAAATTCTTACTTTTTTCTTACTTTTTGTAATGATCATTATAAAACGATTAATTTTGGTGGTAGATTTGGGAAAAAACAAAAAGATTGTTTGTTTGTTTTTTGATTTTTCTAGATCAAAATCAGTTTGGGAAAGAAAATAACTAATCGATTGCGATTTTTGTGTTACTGGACTATCAATTGGTAACAAATCATCATCGACAAAGAGATAAAAGTTTCTTGGAAAATCAATCGATCGATCGATTGATCAATTAAAATTCTGAACTTTTACCTGAAAAATGTCAGGTTTTTTTCCAATCAACTACCTACCTCTGTTTTTGTTGTTGTTGTTGTTGTTTTCACAATCAAAAAAATCAAAATAACTAATCGATGAACACTTTAAAACACACTTTGAATTCCACAAAACAGAAGAACAAAACGCGCCAAAATTCTGTTCGTTTTCGGTTGAACAACACCGGACACTAGTTGTTTTGACAAAGAAAAAAGGATATGGCGCCCAACAAATTCAAAAACACAGACGACACACTGAAAACAGAAGACACTATTTTTATTATGATGATGGGTATCCTACTTTACATCCAAGTAATATTGTGTGTTTACAGTCAAACAACCAGAAACAATCTGAATTGAAATGAAAAAACGCCAAAACAAAAAAAAAATAATAATAATAACAAAATCCAAATACAACGAGAGAATCCAACATCGTTCTTTGTTATGAAACAATCACTATCATAAAAAAGAATATATATTTTTTTTAAGGTAGTGGTATTAATTTGAATACAATATTTTTCGATCTTAATTCTGATTGGTTGAAAATGTTTTCCATTGGTAGTAGTATAGAATTATGTATGAAATGATGTTTGGATCATTCATTTCGAATGGTAGTGGTTCTGAAATATTGGATATATGTGTGTGTGGGAGATGAGAAAAAACCGGTCCACTTTCACTTCATACTCAAATTAGAACCCCTCCTTCTTTCTCTTTTTTGCTCTCGTTCGAATTCGAATTCACAATTCGAATCGAATTTTTGATCGAATAATTGGCCAGAAAAATGATGGTCAAAATTGAAAAATTCTTTTTTTAAAAAATTTCATAAAATTTTTTTTTTTGTTTCTTCGTATATCATAATTGTAATGATGATCTAGTCATATGGTCATCATCATCATCATCATTAGATTTCAAGGTAATCATCATCCCGGGCAACATTCCATCTTGATTGGTAGAGAAGAGAAAAAAAACAAGTTACCAATTCAATTGGTCAAACCAGAATTATTTTGCCCAAAGGCTATTTTGGCTGCTGTTGCTGATAATGTCCTGACTATATATATCGATTACCAAACACGATTCGACTATACCTTTGATCGTTGATCGATGTGAAATTTAAATTTTGTTAAATTTTTTTTGTTTTGTTTTTTTGTTTCCATTGAAAGTCAAATGACCTTTTTCCCAAACTAAAAAAAGCAAGCTGATTTCTTAGCTGTTTTCATCACAATTGTTTTTTTTGTTTAAAATAAATCTGTGAATGTTGGTCGTTGGGTCACACAAGCAGCCTGCCATCATCATATTGTTATTGGTCGGTCGCGAAGTCAACAACAGCAATATTTTTCATTGTCAACATTTTCGCAATATGGATTTTTTTTGGTGTGTTTTTTTCAATAGAGAAAAAAAAACCCAAAAATGATCCGACACAGGATTCAAATCAAGGAAGATTAAAGTTTTCATTTTTTTTCTTCTGTTCGAATATAATCGGATCAAAATTGACCATCATTTTTTTTCATTTTTTCCATTCTTTGCGCAACAGCTGTTTGATGCTATTCAATCTCTCAGTTTCCCCAGGTTATTGTTATGCGAAGATTCATTTTGTTTTGGTTGTTTATTTTCCCGGATTTTTTCAAAAAAACAAAAATTCAAAAAATCCAATGATCAATACGCCATCTCGTTTTTCAAAATCAAAATCGAATGTTTTTGTTTCTTAAATCACTAGATGGCTGTAAATCTGTTTTTTTCTTTTGGAAATAGGAGGCGTTACTTATATCATTCGAATGGATTCGAATCGAGTAGTGGTATACAAAATAGATACAGAGAAAAATGTTGATGATAGCGATTGTAACGCCATGATTTTTCATTCAAAAATATTTATAGCGGTAAAAATTTGAATTAAAAATAATGAAAGTAGCAACAGTGATGGTAGTAGCATTAATATCAATTATCAATTAGGATCATTGATCCAATAGAGATTTGTGGTAGATTTGCTGCTGCTCATTGCGATAATGTTGATGAATGGTGTTTTAAGAACTTCAACAACAACAAAAAATGAGTCATTGCTGTTGTTGATATTTATCGGCGTAATAATAATGATATGAACATTCAACAACAACAACAACAAAAAACTTTTTTTGTCGCCATACGTGCCACTGACGCCGCTATACTCAGAACTTGAAAAGAAATATAGCTCGAGAATCATTTCATCGTCATCATAATCATCATCATTTTCAAATAAATCGATTTTGTTTGTTTGTTTGTTGTTGTTTGATTTCATTTTTTCCGTTCTGTAACGCCTACTTGACCAATTTTAATTTGATTGATTGATTGATTTAATTGATTTTCTGTGTTTTATCTCGAACCTTGTGATTTTTTTTTCATTCGAATTTTTCAATAATCGAAAATTCTCGAATCCATCTTTTTGTTTTTTCGGTAAGTATTCAAGTAATGTGTGTGTTTGTGAGTATCAAATTTTTCAATTTGAAAATTTTTGATTTTTTCACAACTGTCAAATTTGATTTGGCACGATTGATGTCATCATCAAACATATGGAAATTTGAGAGCAAAAAAAATTTGTTGTTAACCTGAAATTAATGTTGTTTTTTGTTTTTTGTTTTTTCGTCTCCAGGTTATTCGATTCACATCATCATACATAATCATCAGCATTGATCATTCGATTTGAAGAAAGAAAATCAGCTCACATATTGAATATTTTATCTCGTTTTTTTTGTTGGTTGTTAGGCAAATTGTTTATTTATTAAACTAAACAAATACGAAATTATCGTTTGCCATCATTCTGATTTTGTGGTAATCATCATCATACAATAATCGATACACAAACAATCAATCAATTGGCCAATAGACTATAGTACTCTGGTATTTTATTGTTGGCGTTAACACCGAAACAATCCGATTCTGACATTCAAAGAAAATTGTCCCCTTTTTTTTTTGGTTCCAAATTTGGGAATTTTTTCAATAAGATTTCAATGACAACAATAATGGCCACTACAATACCAACATCGGCTTTGGCAAATAATATTACAAATACAAATGATAATAATAATGGTGATACAAATAATTCTACAAGTAATTTAAATGTTGCACCACCACAAGATGCAACACGTCGTTTACAAACAAAAAAACAAACATTAGATGATGCATATGCTGTACCGGCAAATTTTCTTGAAATTGATGTTTGTAATCCAATTACACATGGTGTTGCACGAAATCGTTATACAGATTATGAAGTTAGAATGAGGGTATGTTTTTCATTGTTTTTTTGATTTTGATTTTTATTTAAAAATTTTCATTTATCATTTACCAGAGTAATTTACCAATATTTAAATTAAAAGAATCAAGCGTACGACGAAGATATTCTGATTTTGAATGGTTACGTTCAGAATTAGAACGTGATTCAAAAATAATGGTACCACCATTACCGGGTAAAGCATGGAAACGACAATTACCATTTCGTCAAGATGATGGTATATTTGATGATGAATTTATTGAAGATAGAAAAAAAGGTTTAGAACAATTTATTAATAAAGTTGCCGGTCATCCATTAGCACAGAATGAACGTTGTTTGCATATGTTTTTACAGGATCCTGTTATTGATAAATCATATGTACCGGGAAAGATTCGTAATGCATAAAGAATTGAAAAAGTTTTTTTTGGAATGAAGAATAAAAAACTTACTGCCAACGAGAATGCAAAAACAAGCAAACAACAACAAAAACAAAGCTGGATTTCCCTTGAAAAAAAAACAACCACAATCATTATCATCATCATCAACAACACACCGGTGAATTATCAATCCACTATCAATCTTTTTTCTTCAGCAAAAAACGCCTACATTTTTCACCCAAAAAAAAAATGAAGAGAAATTCTTGATTTTCATCGAAAGAAGAATTTACCTTATTTTTCTTTTTTTTTATTTTTCAAATTTTTTTTAAAAATTCTATTTTCTTTTCTTTTTTTTCGCTTCAAACATTCAACATTCAGCAAACAGTTTTATTTGAATATATGTAATGAGATTTTCAAACAACAACAACAAATCAGATTATAATCCGTTAATTAATTAATTAATTAATTTTTTTCTAATTATAATTATTTTTTACAAACAAAAAAAAAATATTGTTAAATGCAAATTAGATTTATAATTATATATATGATTACCAAATGAAAAAGTATCAGCAGTAAGCAGTTTTTCCAAGAATCTTTTGAGTTTCTTTCTCTCTCTCTCTCTCTCTCTCTCTCTCTCTCTCTCTCTCTCTCTCTTCTATCTTTTGATTTTCAAATCCTTACATTTCATTTCCCTTGTTGTAATGTGTGTGTGTCAATGATGTTTTTATTTTCATTTTCATCCTGAAAAAACCAAAAAAAAAAAACATTGAATAAAATTTATTTAATTCAAATAAAAGATGGCAGCACTTTGTCCAGTTTGTTTTTTTTTGAAAAATTTACAAAAATTTACTTTTTTCTCGTTAAAATGTTTTTTTTTTACTTTACAAAATAATCAACTTTTGTTTTTTTTTGTTTTTTGTAAATTAGCTACTGGTATTCAACATTGGTATTTTTTTTCCTCTCTTAATTTTCAAAAATTGGTCATTTTTCTTGGGTTGACATTTTTATTGGTCACTTGTTGATACTTTTTTTGGTGATCGATAGCCATTGGTCATCGTTAATGATGATCAAACTCTCTCTCTCCCTGGATGAATGTGACACAATCGATTCGTTCCGAAGTAGTGGTGGAATGAATCGTGAAAATATTCATTCCGTCTTCATTTCCGTAACTCATTTACGCTAAAAAAATCAATACGCGTGCAATCTGGTTGATTGGTTGGTGGCAAAAATCAACCTTTTTATGGGTCTTTTTTTTCCTTTCTTTTTGGAAATTTCCAAAAGAAGAAGAAAATTCTTCACGCTATGCGTGTGACATACACACACACATGAGTGACAAGTTCATTTGTTCTTGAATATATCTTTGGCTAAAGGGCATTTGATTTTTTGGGGATATTTTTTCCATGAAAAAAAACAACAAGTCCTAAGGGTTAAAACAGTAGGAATCAATGACTGACTGACTGACTTTGACCTGAATCTGATCTTTGTTTTTTTGGTCAAAAAAAAATTGTTAACATTTTTAACCAGCTTTTTGCCAAAATGTGACCACCACCAAATACCAACATCGAAAATCAACCAAGCAAAAGGGGAAACATAGATAACACCTTTGACCAAATCAAACAAACAAACAAACGAAAATTGACAATGTCGGGCTGTCATAAACACAACCACCACCACCAACAACAACAACAATAACACCCCGGTGTCATTTGGGAAAATAAAGTCTTTATTTTTTTATTTTATTTTCTTGGGTATAATATACGTGTCACCTGTCAATTTTTATTCAATTTTTTTAGGTTTGTTTGGTGTGCGTGTGTGTGGTTCCGATTGGAAAATGATTTTTTCGTTCACCAAACAAAACAAAGCAAAGGTGAAATGAAAAAAATCCAAAATCCACAAAAGGTAAAAAAGGTACATTTTTTGCTGACCACCACCAATAAGCACCTTTATTTTCATCAATTTTCAGGGTCTTCTTTTTTTGGTTTTTTTAACTTTTTTTCCTTGGATTTTCCATCAAAAAAAATCGATAATTACCAATTCTAATTGGCGAAAGTTTTTCGGATCAACAACGAAAAAAAAAATCACCCAAAATCTTTCGAAAGAAAAAATTTATTTATTTATTCATTGGATTTTCTCGTATTCCAAAAGTTTAGTTTGTTTTCAGCAACAACAACAACAAAATATTGTCGCTTTTGGGGTGATCTTTTTTTGGTTTTTTGATACTTTTTTTTTATTTGAAATCAAAGCTGAGATTATTATTATTATGACACATGCAGGTGCTCGATGATTTTGCTCGTTTACGTTTACCTGTGTGTGTGTGTTTTATATTCAAAAAATTTTGTTTAATCTTTTTTTTTCATTGAATGAATGAATGAATGAATTTAGTCAAGGAAAAAACCAAACACACACGTTTGTCCCATAGTGGAAAACAAGAAAAAATCTTTCTTTTCTGGTGGCTGTGACAATCAAGGTGTCAAATAGGAGATTATTTTCCATTTTTCATTTTCGTTGACGATTTTCATCTTTCCTTGTGGTTTTTTTTCCTATTTTCGTAACATGAACTTTTTTCCATCAACAAAAATGTTTGTTTGAATGAATTTTTGGTTTTGGTTTCGTCTGTTGAGATATATAGGATTAATTTGATTTGATTTGATCATCTCCTCCTTCTATCAAGTTTGGTTGAGCCAAAATCAAAATGAAAAAAAATCCAGTCATTATAATGATGATGTTTATGATTATCATTAGGAATTGATCATGATGATCATCACCAAAAGGCTATCATTATTATTTTTCCAAAACGAAATGTTTCACGAATCTTGATGCTAAACAACCAAAAACAAAACAAAACAAAAAACAACAAAGTTTTGACAAGGGGTTAAGCACACTGTCTGTCTGTGTCTGTGTTTTTGATATTGAAGTTGGTGAAAATCAAGAAATAACGATTCATTCAATGATGATGATAATGAGATGGGATGTCTGAAAAAAAAACATTATTATTATCCCCACATTCATAATCTTGAATTTTGTTTTTGTCCTTAATCAAAAGTCCAGATAATTTCCATCACGATTAGAATTTACAAATCACGTTTTTTTTGTTTCAAATGTTTAACGGTTTATGATAACAATCGGGTAATTCTAACTGTAGTTTTGTTTTTGGCAACATTTCGTTGCCAAAAACAAAAAACAATGTTTTTAAAAAACATTTTTTTCATTTCTAGTTATTAAATAACGCTTTTTTTCTGAACAACATATATAATTATTTTATTGATTGATCAATCAATCGATCGATTGATTAATTTTCAATCATAATCAATCGATTGATTGATTGGATGATCATTATAATGAGCATCTTTTTCGTTTCATGGCCATGTTTGAAGAACAAAGTGAAAAAACTACCCAAAACATCATTGAAGAAAAGCCATAGATCACACACAGGCACTGACAAAAAAAATCCATGGCGCCATTTATAAATAATCTTTCTTTTTTTACAGTTTTTTTTTTGTACTATATAGCTGTATTTTGGGATTAGTAAATGGTGGTGGGCGTGATTAATTCAATTTGATTCCATCATCATCAACATCATCATTATCCATTGGCAACAAAATAAATCTTAACGTTTCGTTACTTTATCTGTGTTTGACTTGAATGGATGTTTCTAGCCAATTTTACCTTTATAATGTTTGTGTGTTTCTATGATTAATGATGTGTGTGGTGGTCATTTTTTTTTTTGTTTCTGTTGAACATCGTGGTCGTGGTGATTGTTGCTGTTGGTGGTGGTGGTGGATGATCTCTGAATTATTAATCTTCAAAGATGAAAATCCTTCTTCTCCATCTCGATGGCTCATTTCATTTTAATTATAGTCAAACACACACACAAAGAGAAAAAAAACATGGTAAAATGAAGATTAGGTTGAACCCATTGATTGATTGAATGAATGGTTGAACATATCCAAGCCAATCTCATTTGGTTTTTGGTTTGATTCATTCATCAAAATTTTTTCTTTGTAATCATGTATAGGATTAATTATTTGATGCAGGAGATGGACGAAAACAAAAAATGATTTGAATTTTTTTTTGTGAATATCATTACCATTCAAATGTTTGTTTGTTTGGTTTGGTTTTGTTTTGTTGAATATGATTAATCCCAGAGAAAAAAGAGAAAAATTCAAAGTTTGATTTTTTTGAGTTTTCTGCTGGTCAAGATAACAATGATCAATTTTGTCTTTCGATTATGAAATTGTTTTCAATCATTTTGTAATAATAATGAGGATTTTTTTCTGTTTCTGTTTGGATTATAAATTATCATCCAAATCGTCATTTGTTTCAAACAGCAAACAGAAAAAACTAATTGCTGGATGACCATTTTTTGATGATTTTTTTTCGAAGTTTTAAAGTTTTTAAAAGTTTTGTTTATCCACTTTTCTATTCAAATGATGATAATCATCATTAGTGGTCATCTGATGATGATGACCACTAATGATCAGTTGAATATATGTCTATTTTTCTTTAAGAAAAATCATCATTTAAAGATGCAAAATGTGTGTGGTCAGTGACCGAATCGATTTGTGTGTGGTCAATGACCAATTCAAATAAAGTGTACTTTTTTTTTCTTTTTTTTTTTTGTTTTGTCAATTTGACAAATGAATCTTTTTTAAAAAATCCTAAATAAACAAAACAAACAAATTGAAAAATTGTTTCTTTTTTTTTTCTTTCTCTCTCTCTCTTGGTCATCTAGGTCATCATCATCGATTGATCCGATTGATTTTTTCTTTGTTTATCAATATATATTCAATCGACCGATTCAAGTTCAATGATGATGATCATCATTTCAGTTATTCCAGTAATGTTTTTTTGATGAAAATTCACAAAACAAAGCAAAAAGTTGGTTTTGGAAAAATTTCATCAACAACGATGAAAAAATAGGGTTAGAATTTTATTTTTCCATCCATTCATTTGACATTGATATCTTTCAATCAAAACCGATTGATTGATTGACAATTTTCTTTTTCTTTTTTTCTCGCAGTAGAATCATAATGATAATGATTGATTGATTGATCAACCGGTTGATCAATTTCTTATTATTCATCTCGAAAATAAGAAAAAAGTCCAATCAATCGATTGAATGATTTTTTCGGAAAAATAAAATATAAAAAAA